ATATTTTACGCAGCATGCGGCAGCCAAACAGGGGAATCTCCAGGTCACTACACAGCCCCCCTCTTAGAAGGGAACCGTAGGTGACCCTTCGATCTACGTGAGGACTGTCCGTCGCCGGCCAGCCTTCTGCGAGACCAGGCGGTGAAACCTGATGCAGTTGCTGGGGGAGAACAAATGCGATCGGACGCTAGGGGGGCTCCCACCCGTGTCCTCCCTACAGGTGCCAAAAACACAAAATGGGGGAAATGTTCGTAGCGATCGAGTGCGTAGTGTCAAAGCACACGATGTTTGAGCACGTAGTGTCCGCAAACGTAACGTTCGATTGTCGTTGAACGTCCGCGTTTCGGGGATATGAAAAAGAAGCGGAAACGCGGAGTGTCAAACAAGTGCGAGCGACAGAGCTAACAAAAGGCGATAGCACTTACCGAGTGCGATAAGCGAATAAAGCGAGAACCATTTTGTGTTTTCAAAACGATTTTCTCCTTTTTTGGGGTTTTCAAAACGTCTTTGTGGTTTTTGGGGTTTTCCAAACGCTTTGCAAATTTTTTTTGGGTTTTCAAAACGTTTTTGTTGGGCGGGTTAGGCCACAAGCAAAAAGAAAGCGGGAAAAGAAGAATGAAAAGAAGACTAATCTTTTAATCGCGCTGGCCAATGAACCCGCCTACCTGACCTAGTCGATTTCGGACGTTCGGTCGGAGGCATTGTCGATCCAGCCGTTTTGTCGGATGAGGACGCTTTCGGCTCGATAGTATCGGAAGGAACTGAGTCGGAAGGGTTGGTCGGAGAATGCTTCGTAGCATCGGAAGTAGGCGTATCGTCGATCATGGGCTGCGTTGACTCGTCCGAAGGTGGACAGGAGTCATCGTCGATCTCAGGTTCCACATGGGCAACCTTGAGACGGTCGATAGAGACGGTTTCACGTTAACCGTGGCGGTCGATGACGAATACGCGGTCCTTACGTTGAAGAACCTTAAATGGACCTTCGTAGGGTCGTTCGAGTGGTCTGCGTAGACCATCGACTCGAAGGAAAACGTAAGTGCAATGCAGTAGATCTTGTGGAACGAACGATTTACGTCGTTGTTCTCGCACGTCGGTTACTTTGATATGGCGCATGCTCGTGGCTAACTGCCGAGCGTAATTCGCGTCGTAGCGGGGTGTTCTGGGGTTTCCAGAAAAGAAGTCCCCAGGTAATCGAAGAGGTTGTCCATATACCAGTTCGGCGCTGGACGTGTGCAAATCAGCTTTAAGAGCTGATCGGATACCAAGTAGTATCATGGGCAGTGCTTCGGTCCAGCTTAGTGCATTAGCGGCACTAAGTGAGGCCTTCAGCTGTCGGTGGAAACGTTCCACCATGCCGTTGGATTGCGGGTGATAGGCGGTAGTCCGGATGCGTTGACATCCGAGGACTTTGAGAAGATCGTTGAATGTCGAGGATTCGAACTGCGGACCGCGGTCGGTAGTCACTGTGGCTGGACAGCCATGTGAAGCGACCCAGCGCTCAACGAAAGCGCGCGTTACGGTGTCCGCGGATACGTCGGGTATAGGTACTGCCTCGGGCCAACGGGTGTTTCGGTCGATCATGGTCAAAATGTAGACCATTCCTCTGGATGGTGCCAAGGGTCCAACTATGTCGAGATGGACATGGGCGAAGCGAGCTGAGACTTGCGGAAAACGACCAAGCGGGGCGGACACGTGCCGCTGTATCTTGGCCTGTTGACACGTTAGACAACCGCGTGCCCAACGCTTAAGATCGCGTTGCATTCCGAGCCAAACGTATCTCTCGGATATGAGCTTGATCGTGGCTCGGATGCCTGGATGAGCGATGTTATGAAGTGTGTCGAAAACTAGACGTCGAAAGGTTTCTGGAACGACGGGTCGAGGTCGTCCAGTAGAAGTATCGCACAAGATTGTGCCATCAGATGACGGCAGTGGATGCGATGTGATTTGCAGCGAAGAATCTTGTTTCACGTTCTGACAGTCAGTGTCGTTTAGTTGCGCGGTAGCCATGGCAGATAAGTCGATTGCCTGGCCAGCGGTGTGGATTGCGGAGACGCGCGAAAGGGCGTCAGCAACGACATTATTCTGACCTGAAATGTGTCGGAGGTCAGTAGAAAATTGAGCCACGAAATCCAGCTGACGAACCTCACGTGGTGAGTGTCGAGCTGATTGATTTCGAAAGGCGTAAATAAGCGGCTTATGATCGGTGAAGATAACGAACGAATTACCTTCTAAGACGTGCCTAAAATGTCGCACGGTAGAATAAACTGCCAGCAGTTCGCGGCTGAACGTGCAGTACTTGGCTTCTGCCGGTTGTAAGCGTCGGGAGTAGAAAGCGAGTGGCTTCCAGCATCCCTCAGTGAATTGCTGCAGGACGGCGCCAATGGCGGTGTCCGATGCATCGACTGCAACGCTGAGTGGAGCCTTCGGGTCGAAATGGTGAAGCATAACGGCTTCGGCCAAGGCCTCTTTGCAGGCTTTGAAGGCTTCGGTTGCAGCGGGCGTCAATTCGACATTGCCGTTCTTGCGTCCACGAAGTAAGTCGGTCAATGGACTGAGCAAGTCGGCACAACGTGGCAGAAATCGACGGTAGTAGTTAATCATCCCACTAAAACGGCGGATGGCGGCCAAAGTAGTCGGAAGGGGAAAGTCCTTAATAGCGATGACTCGGTCTTCGAGCGGCCGTATGCCATGCTGGTCAATTCGATGACCAAGAAATTCGATAGATGGTTGCTGAAAGATGCATTTGTCAGCGTTGACCGTAATGCTATTAGAAGCTAACCTCTCGAAAAGCATCTTGAGGTGCTTCGCGTGCTGTTCTTCGGAAGAACTAGCTACTAAGATGTCGTCTATATAAGGATAAACAAAGTCGAGACCTCTGGTGACAGAGTCTATGAAGCGTTGAAAAGTTTGAGCTGCGTTACGAAGACCGAAGGGCATTCGCAAGAATTCGAAAAGTCCGAAAGGCGTGATGACTGCGGTTTTCGGAATGTCATCCTCGGCTACAGGGATCTGGTGGTAAGCGCGAACCAGATCGATCTTCGAGAACACACGGGCGCCACGTAGGCTAGCCGTGATGTCCTGAATGTGCGGAATGGGATAGCGGTCGGGGACGGTAGCGTTATTAAGAGCGCGATAGTCGCCACATGGACGCCAGTCTCCTGACTTTTTAGGCACCATGTGTAGAGGCGACGCCCACGGGCTCTTAGACGGGCGAATAATGCCTAGGTCTAGCATGTGCTCGAATTCGGAGCGTGCAATTTTGAGCTTGTCGGGGGTCATGCGCCTGGCTTTTGCGAACACAGGCGGACCTTTCGTAACGATGTGATGTGTCGCGGCGTCGGTTACGGAAGGCAACGGGACGGCAGGACGGAAGACCTGCGGAAAACTATCGAGCAGCGTTTGCCCGACGGGTGAAGTAAGTTGAGTCGCGTACACGGGACTGATTGACGCGGTGTCGGTCAAAGTCCCAATGACTGCGAGGTTCGTAAGACGGTCGACTAGACGGTGTCGCTTAACGTCGACGAGTAGGTCGTAATGACGTAAGAAGTCGAGACCAAGGATAGGCGTTTGAACATCTGCAACGAGGAATATCCATTTGAAAGCGCGTCGGAGGCTGAGATTTAGCGTGCGCGAGCGTTGACCATATACGCGGATAATGGTTCCGTTAGCTGCGCGCAATGAGCTAGTCACCTTTTCGGTCGGGTCATTTGGATCACGCGGGAGAACGCTGACTTCTGCGCCAGTATCGACGAGATAGCGAACTCCGGTTCTACGATCGGTGACGAAGAAAAGGCGACTGCGTTGACCAGCTACGTCCGTCGCCCCTACGTGCTGGTCCGCCCGTTTCCCTGCTGCTGTCGTTTGAAGGAACAGGGCGGGCGACATGATTTAGCTTGCTGGCCGAAGCGTTCGTGGTACCAGCAGTAACCGTTTCTATTCGGTGATCGCGAAGGAGACTTCGAACGTGAACGCGAACGGCTCCTAGAGCATTTACAGCGGTTATGTCTGGAGGCCGAAAAGTCTGCGAATTGTCGAGTCAACGTTGCCATCTGGGATTTAAGCGTAGCGATATCGTTGTCCGGTTTCGTGTGGACCTGCGAAACCTGGCCGTACGACTCCCAAATTCGGTCGGCTGTATCGGCCAGTTTGGGTAAAGGTGCATCCTCACTAGCGCAGAGGATGTGTAGCATCTCGCGCGGAAGTCGTTGCAACCACATTTCCCGAAGAAAAGAATCATCTATCGAAGAGGGTTTAGCTAGGCTCTGCATTTTTCGAAGCAGCTGAGAAGGCTTAAGATCGCCAAGATCGGTTTCGTTGAGGAGTTTCGTAACTCGTTGTCGATCGGATAAGCCTGTTCTTCTCAGAACAGCTGTCTTGACTGCATCGTAAGTCTTTTGGTCGTCAGGAAGATCTAGAATGTCATCAATGTCATCGATGACATTTAGCGGAAGCGCGGAAACGACAAGGTGGAACTTGGTCTTTTCGGACCTAATACCACGCAAAGAAAATTGCGATTCTAGCTGACCAAACCAAGACTTAGGATTAGTCTCGCGAAAAGGTGCGATAGGAAGCGTAACTGTGCCGATCTGAACGTCAGAATCTACACGATCAGTTGCCATAGCGAGCGAAATAGCGAGCCAGCGAGATTAAACCGGAAAATGAAAAGTGAAAATCAGACGGGTTAGCGAAAAAATGTGGCCAAATCTGAAAAGAAAGGTTAGCGAAAACTCACCGGATAATGACCAAAATTCGGGGTCACCAATAAAGCGCGAAGCGGGATCGGTACGCTTTAGAACAAATACGCGGATATAAGGCCAACCTCCGGTGAGTGGAGAACACCAAAGGTAACGCTAGGAAAAATTTATTAAGTGGGCGAAAGGCTATCTAGTGCTAAAAATAAGGCACCGAAAGATAGCTAGCTAGGGAAAGGTGTGGTCGCGTGCGCGGAGAGCAAAGATGGCAGCGGAGCCGAGGAGCGTCGCGCCGTTCGAAGGCGGATGCTATGTTGACTCAAACAAACGCGAGCAACGTTCAAACAGGCGAGCGGCTATTTTGCTATGTACATCGAGAAAATATAATTTTGTGATTTTGTAATATTTTACGCAGCATGCGGCAGCCAAACAGGGGAATCTCCAGGTCACTACAATTTCATTAGTAAGGTTTATACATAATCTAAGATCAGCATCATGCATAGACTTGAAAAGATAATTATAATGCTCAAACATATAAATTGCCTTGCGTATACATTGCGTTCCTTTAGTGAAAAGCATAAATGCCTCTCAGTTTTTGTTATTCGGTGGATCGCAGCAAGTGCCGCTGGCGTACGCGTCCACATCTTCCAATTTCTCCGTGCAGTGACATATGATTAGCTACTTCACGTTAATGAGCGACAAGTAATACATATGCCTCAAAACACACCTCAGCGTAGTGGTAAGTATTATAGTTGACGAAGTACTTAACGTGAGCATAACTCTTTGTTATTATTTCCGTATTTCAAGTGTACTTCTTATTCTGTCCCTTCAAATCCTCTTCTTATATCTTGCTTGCTTCGCGTGACTGCCACAGCAGGGACTCCTGTAGGACTAGTCAATACTAGTCCGAGACGATGCGCGGAATTAAGCGCGGATATCAGAAGGCAATTGGAGTCGGACACGGCGGACTGTATTCGATGGGCTACAACAATAAGCGGACGGATGAAGCGAGGCAAGAGCGTACACGTGAGCGCGGGGACTTACAAGGCAGTTGTGTATCGATCCGGTTGTAAGATTAAAACAAGAAGGAGTAATGTACAATCGGTCAACAAGTAAATTGTACACGAAAGATAAGAGTTATCTTTTTGGGCGCTACAGAGCTCCCCCCCTAGAAGGCTGAACATAGAAAGCCTTCGAACTCGAAAAGGAATGTTGAAACCAGGTTCGTAGGGCGAAATCGTGCCGAGCAAAAATGGGCGTGCGTTCGTGTAAATGGGGGTTCGTCGGAAGTCGGAGTCCGCTGTGCCGTTTATGCTTTGTTATTTATTGAATGCAGGGCAGGGTGCATTTCGGCGAGCCGTTGGAGCGGGCTTGTCGGACTACAAAAAAACTGGCTAGCCCAGAAAAAGGCCGACAGGACCTCTA